AGTTGTCCTTGTTGTTTGGCAGACCCAGGCTGGATTCGAACCCACCAGCCTCAGTGTATGTGGCTGGCACCCTAGCCGCTGAGCTATAGGCACTGAGCCAAGATTCTACCTTTTGAATAAGCTCCCAGGTGATGCCCATGTTGCTGGTCTGGGGACCACACTTTGACTAACACAATCTGCACTGTGGTTCTCAAAGTGTGCTCCCTAGACCAGCAGATTTGGGATTACCTGAGAGTTTGTTACACATGCAAACTATCAGGCCTGATCACAATCTATCGGATCTGAGACTCAGGTGCTGCCCCTGCCCAATATTTCTGCAAGCCCTCCAGATGATTCTGATGCATGCCCAAGCCAACAATCTCTGGTTCAGGATAAGGAATGCAATGCTGACTGACAATTCTGTTATCTTCAGTCTGCAGGTCATTAAAATTTCACCACTCATTGGCTGTCTCCCCGTGAGGGGCTGAGTGTTCCTAGAGATGGATGCCCTGCAACACAGAAGGGCATTTGTGCTGCCCATTGCAGAGATGGCTCCTGACTCCAGCTCAGATTCGCAGCCTTTTCTGCCTTGCCAGCCAGAGCACACTCTTGCTAAGGTTTTCAGGGTTTCTACAGGTCCCTCAGTCTCTCTCTCTCCCCTCACCCCTCCACCTCCATCCCTAGGGATGACTGGTTGAATATTTAGCTTTGCAGGTATTTGGTACGGAGAGCTGAAAGAGCCAGAGTGAAGTAACTCTGCAAGTTAAGTTCTAATCTGGGTGTTAGACTGGGTGGCAGCCCCTGAGGGATGTAGGCCAGGATGGCAGGCAAGGAACTGAGCACAAGCCCACCCTCCCATTCCTGCCTCCATATAACTCTGATTTCCAAGTATACTTTCTTTTTTTAAGACAGAATCTCACAATCACCCAGCCTACAGTGGCATGGCATCATAACTCATAGCAACCTCAAACTCATGGGCTTAAGGGATTCTCTTGCCTCAGTCTCCTGAGTGGCTGGGACTACAGGTGCCCGCCAGTATGCCTGGCTAGTTTTTCTATTTTTATTATTATTATTTTGAGGCAGAGTCTTACTATGTTGCCCTCAGTAGAGTGCTATAGCATCACAGCTCACAGCAACCTCAAACTCTTGGGCTTAAGTGATTCTCTTGCCTCAGCCCCCCAAGTAGGTGGCGCCCGCTGCAACACAGCTATTTTTTTGTTGTGGTTGTCGTTGTTTTAGCAGGCCCAGGCTGGTTAGAATTCACCAGGCCCGGTGTATGTGGCTGAGGCCCTAACCACTGAGCTACAGGCACTGAGCTAGTTTTTCTATTTTTAGTAGAGAGGGATCTTGCTGTTACTCAGGTTGGTCTCAAACTTCTGAGCTCAAGCAATCCACCCACCTTGGGCTCCCAGAGTGCCAGGATTATAGGCATGCGCCACCACTGTGAGTAAACTTTCAAGACTAGACTCAAAGAGAGGTCCCTGAATGAGGTAGGTAGCAGGGAGGGGCCAATTTTGGTCTCTTAAAAGAATCTCACCATGGGCAGCGCCTGTGGCTCAGTGAGTATGGCACCAGCCCCATATACCAAGAGTGGCGGGTTCAAACCCAGCCCTGGCCAAACTGCAACAACAAAAAAATAGCCAGACATTGTGGCAGGTGCCTGTAGTTCCAGCTACTTGAGAGGCTGAGGCAAGAGATCGCCTAAGCCCAAGAGCTGGAGGTTGCTGTGAGCTGTGATGCCACAGCACTCTACCAAGGGCAAGTTTTTTTCTGTCTCTTAAAAAAAAAAAAAGAATCCCACCATGTAAATCTCCCTTTCCACATGGGGAGAATTAGTTTAAAATCTGGCTGGGTGTGGTAGCTCACGTCTATATTTCTAATACTCTGAGAGGCTGAGGAAGGAGGATCCCTTGAGCTCAGGAGTGTGAGACCAGCTTGAGCAAGAGTGAGCCCCCATCTCTACTGAAAATAGAGAAACTAGTAGGGAATCATGGCACATGCCTGTAGTCTCAGCTACTCAGGAGGCTGAGGCAGGAGGATTGCTTGAACCCAGGTGTTTGAGGTTGCTATAAGCTAGGCTGATGCCATAGTACTCTGGCCTAGGCAACAGAGTGAGACTCTGCCTAAAAATAAATAAATCAGCAGGGCATGGTGGCTCATGGCTGTAATCCTAGCACTCTGGGAGGCTGAGGCAGTTGGATTGCTTGAGCTAACAGGTTTAAGACCAGCCTGAGCATCAGAGAGTCTCACAAGACTCTATCTCTACTAAAAATTGAAAAACTAGCCAGGCATTGTGGCAGGCACCTATAGTCCCAGGTACTCGGGAAACTAAGGCAAATGGATCGCTTAAGCCCAAGAGACAGGTTGCTGTGAGCTATGATGCTGCCATGGCACTCTGCCCAGGACAATAGAATAATATAAATAAAATCTTAGGTCTGCCACTATAATATAAGAAATATGTACTTGGTCTTCCCCCCTGGGTTAGCTAGAGCTCCTAAAACCCTTGTAATTTCCTGTGTGATGGGTGTATGTATATATGTATTTTTTTATTTTTTTTGAGAGAATCTCAAACTGTCCCCCTGGGTAGAGGGCCGTGGTGTCCTTTGTTTTGTTTTTGTTTTTTTTTTTTTTTTTTGCAGTTTTTGGCCAGGGCTGGGCTTGAACCCGCACATGGGGCTGGTACCTCACTCCTTTGAGCCACAGGCACCACCCAGGGCTGTGGTGTCATAGCTCACAGCAACCTCTAACTCTTGGGCCCAAGTGATCCTCTTGCCTCAGCTTTTCTATTTATTTATTTTGAGACAGAGTCTCGGGTTGTCACTCTCAATAGAGTGCCATGGCATCATAGCTGATAGCAACCTCAAACTCTTGGGCTCAAGCGATCCTCTTGCCTCAACCTCCCAAGTAGCTGGGACTATAGGTGCCTGTCACAATGCCTGGCTATTTTTAGAGACGAGGTCTTGCTCTGGCTAAGGCTGGTCTTGAACCCATGAGCTCAGGCAATCTACCTGCCTCTGCTTCCATGAGTGCTAGGGATCATAGGTGTGAGCCACTGCACCTGGCCAGTTTTTCTATTTTTTTTTAGTAAAGATGGGGTCTCGCTCTTGCTCAGGCTGTTCTCAAACTCCTGAGCTCAAACAATCCACCCACCTCGGCTTCCCAGGGTGCTAGTATTACAGGCATAAGCCACTGAGCCCTGCCTATATTTATTTATTTAGACAGGGTCTTGCTCTGTCACCCAGATGGAATGCAGTGGCATCATCATAGCTTGCTGCAATCTTAAACTCTTGGGCCCAAGTGATCCTCCTGCCCTGGCTTATTTAGTAGCTGGGACTCTAGGGCATAAACCACACCATTCCTGGCTAATTTTTTCTTTTTTTGTAGAGGTAGAGATGGGGGTCTCATGTTGCTCAGGTTGGTCTTGAACTCCTAGACTCAAGCAATGCCCCTGCCTCAGACTCCCAAAGTGCTACGGTTACAAGCATGAGCTGCTGTGCTCAGCCCGTCTTTTGTTCTAATGTGTGAGTTCTTTGTGGGCTCTTGGATGGGGGCGGATCACCAGAAAGACCAAGCCATGATTATGAGGTTAGAGTTTGCCACACCTGCCACATCCTCTGGGGAGGGGAGAGCTGGAGACTGAGTTAATAATTGGCAATGGTTGCTATGAAGCCTCTATAAAAATTCCTGAAGTGCTGCACATATAGTGAGATTAAAAGAAAGCTGTAAAATACAAGGTTCAAAGAGCTTCCAGATCAGCAAACATATCCATGTCAGGTGACATACCCCAGCTCCACAGGAACAGAAGCTCTTGTACTTTGGATCTTTTCAGACTTCATCCTATGTACTTTATTTGGCTACTCATGTGTATCTTTCATCATATTCTTTTTTTTTTTTTTT